CCTGCATTTGGGATTGTGCTGTGACTTAAAAGGGGAAAACAAGTTCCCTCTTACCTTGCACCCCAAGGAACATCCCCGCACCACGAAGATACGTCCTGTCCCTGCTCCGTGCCCGGGAGCAGCCCTGCCTGCAGGCAAGGCAGGCGTTGCCGCAGTCTGCCGTGTAACACCTCCCAGCTTGCTCCTGAAGCTGCAGAAAGGGGAGTAAGGAGCTGCTCCAATTGCATCCTCACACCTGCTGAGCACCGACTCCCCTCTCTGTCCCCTGCACTGGGGACACCGGGGGACAGGCACTGCGCTGCTGCCTCCTGCCAGTGCCTGGCACGCAGGGTGTAACGGCACTCGGTGGGCAGGCTGCTGTCTGACGGGAGGTAAATGCCAGAGCCTACGTGCGCTCGGCATTAGTAGCTGCGCTGGGAAGAGCTGAAGCCAGTGACAGCTTGTGTTGCAAGAACTGCCTGTGCTGCAGACGGCTGTTGCGGGGGCATGGGGGTCCCTTCAGGCACCCCAGGGTGCCCAGGGAGCGGCTGCCGCCTGTTGAACTGGGACTTGCTGTTATTTTCTGGCCCGAGATCAGGCAATGCCAGGGTATGTGCATCTGGTGAAGCTGCAGTTTCCACTTTACGGTGTGGGGAAGAAGGGGGTTAGAAGGTGAAACTGAGGCACAAAAGGAGTGAAAGATCCTGAAGAGTGCAGGGGGGCCTGGGAACTGGTCCCTGACTCCTGCAGGGGTGTCCTCCATTCACACAGCCAACGTGTCTTGCTCTCTTCTCCTTCTTTCTAGGCTTCCACGTGATCCCTTCAGTGTCCAACATCGTTCCCGAGAGCTGCCTGCTCATCGTGGTGGGCCTTTTGGTTGGGGGGCTCATCAAAGGGGTGGGTGAAAAGCCCCCCATTCTCAAGTCGAACATCTTCTTCCTCTTCCTCCTTCCACCCATCATCTTGGATGCCGGCTATTTTCTCCCCTTGCGCCAATTTACCGAGAACCTGGGCACCATCCTCATCTTCGCTGTGGTGGGGACGCTCTGGAACGCCTTCTTCTTGGGTGGCCTGATGTACGCCGTGTGCCAGCTTGGCGGCCCCGGCCTGAACCATATTGGTCTCCTGGCCAACCTGCTCTTCGGCAGCATCATCTCAGCCGTGGATCCGGTGGCCGTGCTGGCCGTCTTTGAGGAGATCCACATCAACGAACTGCTCCACATCTTGGTCTTCGGGGAGTCCCTGCTGA